GCCGCAGCCTCTTCGGCATCTCGTGCCCTCTCCTAGAGCTTTGTTGTTGCATCTGCTTCGTCTAGTCCTAGCCTAAGGCTCTATGACTATGCCATGCTCCACCGCGCATTCTCTGCTTTCGCAAGCAACGAAGCTGTATATAGCTGTATTTATAGTCCGTGGCTAGCCCATAGACTTTTCTAGCAAGCTTCCAGTTTTATGTTTTCGATTGGCCATTTGGCATTCACAAGAATACTCTATTCTATCACCGTGGTGCGCTGTGTGAACCTACTATACGTTATCATGTCGACGAATCACCATGGCAATACTTGACAAAAAAAAAAAAACGAATGGCAGAAGAAGCTAGCTTCACATACCAGTAGCTGACGAAACCAAGCTTGCTTACTCAGCAGTGTTCTACAGATTTATCAATTTTACAGTGACTAACTTGTGTACACGCAGTCAAATCGAATAACAACAAAATCAGAAGGAAAAGAAATATCCAGCTATCAACATCTATTACAATCGACAACTGACAGCATCTACAACAAACAGCTAGACCCCTATTCTATCTCATATATTATCAGTTGTTTCAGCACTTCTATTGGTCTTCTACTTTCTTAGGTTTAACCATCCATTGCTACTGGAGAGAAGTGGCCATTTTTAATCCTGAAACTAACAAATATTGTAACTATGAGCCAGTAATGATACTACTTATCAATGGTAGCTCTGCCAATCGATGATAGCGATTTCCTAGGGGTACTGTCATAACTTGTTTCCACTGGACAGTGGAAACTGGTAGTGCTAGTCTTGACAGCACAACTGCTTGCTAGATATAACTATTTCTGAAGCCTTCATGTATCAACAGTAACAAGACAATGATAATGATTTTAATCATGCTAAAAATGATTTTTAAAAATATCCCTATTATTATTACTACTACTATTATTATTATCATCATCATTTCATATTCTTAAAGAATTTTAGATTAATTATTTATAACAACAACATTCAAATTAAGCTCCTGTAAATACATTCATAAAAGTTAATGTTATAATAATAATAATATAAATCACCTAAACATGAAGAAATAAAAAAAAAAAGGAAAACTGACTTGGGCGGAATGTCCAATCGTGCAATTTCAGGACAGTCAACACAAAGCTGGGGGTATTTATGACCACTGATGACTTGAACTGATCAGACAATCCTGCCAGAATAAGATGAAGAGCATCGGACAATCAGGATGAGCATAAAGAAAAATGACGTCAACATAAATGCTCAATGCATGTATAGTCCAATGGTTACCACGGTTTTAGATAGCAGCGCTGTAGCACAACTATAGCTTTTGGAAAGAGTCCACGCTAAGCTATTGTTGTTTTGCCGCTATGTCAGCTACGACTACTATATTGTGCTATAGCGCCGCTAAATTGCTTAGCTGTACCTTTGAAATAGCGGTCTATTACTATTTTAGCAATAACAGTGGTAATCTAATTTTTTATCTACTTATATTTTATTGCTAACTTGGTCTTTTGGAAATTGAACACTTGAGTTACATAAATCATGCTATAATATTATATTATGTAAGGTTCTCTAGACTCCTAAATCTTAAAAACATGTTTGTGTTCATCAAATTTTATGATTGTCATGTCATTGAATCAATTATTACTTGCACTTTTATACTTTTCTTAAAAAACGCTATCTGTCATAGCTCCGCTATAGCTTTATAGCTCCTGAAAAAAGCTGCAGCTATTTGCTATAGCCCGCAATTTTAAACAAATGGTTACAATGGAGCGGACATTCCGGTGGTAGAAACAGTTTGAACAACGCAAGACCGTCCGGAGATCAGAGCCATTTGACACACACACACGTGCACATGTGTGCACGCAGACACACAATTCCACTAGCTATTTGAGCTGTATTGGATTGCCTTGAAGCCATAAGAAGCTAGAGCAAGTGTTGGAACACTACATCCACTATATGGAGGCCCTAGAAATTTAATTCAAGGATAAATTACTACTGGAAACAGGGCCTTTACCGAGTGCAAACTGCTTTGCCGAGTGTCAAAAATCGGGCACTCGGCAAAACCTTCTTTGCCGAAAGTGCCGCTTTTCAAAAGAATTGCACTCGACAAAGAGTTCTTTGCCGAGTGCCGGCACTTTCGGCAAAAAGGGCACTCGGCAAAGGACTTCTTTGCCGAGTGCCGAACTCTCGCAAAAGCGCGCACTTTCGGCATAGGCTGCCCCTGCATGTAACGGTGTTCGCCACGTCCTTCTTTAGCGAGTGCCTCCTGTTAGGTACTCGGCAAATATTTTTTGGAAAATACTTTGCCGAGTGCCCCTGACACGGCCCTCGGCAAAGATTCAATATTTTTTTTGAAATGTCTTTGCCGAGTGCCCATTGATTCGACACTCGACAAAGAGAGGAATTAATTTTTTTTGAAATACCTTTGCCGAGTGCCCCTGTGAAAGCACTTTCGGCAAGAGGAATTTCTAAAAAAATTCAAAAAATCTCTTTGCCCGGCGCCTTATTCTTGGCACTTTCGGCAAGACCCCCTTGCCGAGTGCCATGCCCCGGCGCTCGGCATTTTTTTTTTTTTGGCCTCCAAATTTTTTGTGCAGCCCTTTTTTAGTACAGAACTCCTCGTTAGAATTTGGGGATTTTTTGTGGCTTTTGATATATTTAGTTACTTTATTTCGTTTACTTGAATTTAGAGTATTCTCGCTACTAGAGTAACTAAATATATAAAAAGCCACAAAAATCCCCAAATTATAACGATGAGTTCTGTACTAAAAAAACTGCCTAAAAAAATTTGAGGCCAAAACTTTTAAAAAAATTATAGCAAGTTAGGGCATGGCACTTTCGGCAAATGGGGTCTTCTACCGAGTGCCAAGAATAAGACGCTTTCGAAAGAAAGAGTTTTTTTGAATTTTTTAGATATTTCCTCTTTGTCGAAAATCTATGCCGACGGCCGGATCGGGGCACTCGGCAAAGTTGCCTCTTTGCCGAGTGCCTCCCTGATCCGGCGCTCGGCAAAGGGGCAGGTGGGTGCACTTAGGCAAATTCGGCCGGGTAGTCCAAGCCACACAGACAGATGATAGCCCCCGCACGCGCCGCTCCCGGCCGCCCTCCCGTCTTGCGCGCGCTGCAAGTCCCCCAGCCAGCCACCACCACCACAGGCGCCCCGCCCGCCACCAGCACCACACCCCTTCAGCAGCCTTGCAGCCTCTCCCGAGCCACGCAGGTTGGGTGTCATCACCGATGGCTGGGGAGGCGACAACAATGAAATGCGGGGAATATCGGTACCATCACGATGCAGAGATGGGCTTTACTCCCGGTGGAGAACCCCCTCTAGTCCCGGTTCCCCACCCGGGAGCAAGCATCCGGGACTAAAGGGAGTCCTTTAGTCCCGGGTCAGGAACCGGGACTAAAGGGGGTCCTTTAGTCCCGGTGGGTAACACCAACCGGGACTCCCGGGTCAGGAACCGGGACTAAAGGGGGTCCTTTAGTCCCGGTGGGTAACACCAACCGGGACTAAAGGTGCCTCCTGACATGCCACGAGGCCGGCACTCTTTAGTCCCGGTTGGTAACCCCAACCGGGACTAAAGTTTTTTTTTGTTTCTATTTCTATTTTCCTTTTTTTTCTATTTTCACGCTGCTACCAGGTTTTTTTTTATTTCTATTTCTATTTTCCTTTTTTTCCTATTTTTAATTGATGATTCGTTTTGGTTTTTGAATACGCATTCTACGCTGCTAGAATATACGTACGTTTATAATGTTCAACATTTTATATAAACTATAGTACAAAGGATCTTTAGTCAAGGATCAGCGGTACAATCCTGTTCAAGTTCGTGCTGCTTGGTTCGAGAGCTGAGCTTTTAAGTTAGCTTTCACTCTTCTGAGCAAGCGAGGTGGTGCTAATAGGTGGGACTGGCCAGCAATTCCAGCATATTGCGTACTGGGCCGGCCCATCGAGGCTTCTGTAAACGCCCGGGACTACCAGCCGGGACTAAAGGTACTAAAGGTATACCTTTAGTCCCGGCTCGTAATACTAGCCGGGACTAAAGGTCTTCGTTTTCAGTGTCAGCAATAAATGCAAGCAGGTAAATGCAAGCCGGGACTAAAGCTCGTAAATGCAAGCAGGTAAATGCAAGCCGGGACTAAATCTCGTAAATGCAAGCAGGTACAAGTAAAGCACCGTGACTAAAAGTTCAGTGCTGGTCATCAGCTCGTAAATGCAAGCAGGTACAAGTAAAGCACCGGGACTAAAAGTTCAGTGCTGGTCATCAGCTCGTAAATGCAAGCAGGTACAAGTAAAGCACCGGGACTAAAAGTTCAGTGCTGGTCATCAGCTCATAAAGCACGGCAATAAATGCACTAAAACTTAGAGGACTTTTAGTCCCGGTTGGTGGCTCCAACCGGGAGTAAAGGTCCACCTTTAGTCCTGGTTGGTGTCTCCAACCGGGACTAAAGGTCCCTTGCCACTGTGCCGAGCGCTGTAGCCGTTGGGCAGAGACCTTTAGTCCCGGTTGAAGACACCAACCGGGACTAAAGGTTTCTCTAGTCCCGGGCGCAAAAAATATCGGGACTAAAACCAAATTTTGAAGTGGATCAAAAGTCGTTTCTCTACCGGTGCATGTCGTGTGGGAGTTTCCTCGCCGAAGCTCCGTGCGCGCGCAGCTCCATTCACGGCTTCGTGCCAGCTCTGTGCTGGCGTGCTCCCAAGTTTCCGCTCCCAGGGGCCACGGCGGTGGGCGGGGGCTTCACTTCCTGCTGCAATGAGCACAACCCCAATTCGATTCGAGGTTGAGCCCATGACAGGCCTGACGAGCGTCAGCGGGTGCTACTGCTCCTGCTGCCCCTGCAGATCTGCCCCTGCTCCGTAAAGGTGACTCGCTTCATTCTTGCTTCTTGACGATGGTTGCTTCTAACCTTCTAGGATTAGCAGCATCTTGCTACATTTGCTCATTTTCTAGCTATAGATTTGGGAGCAAAAGGTGTTGTAGTGAAGGTGATTAATAGCCATGGTTTCAAGGGCAAGATTATCAAAAAAGAAGGTGCGTTCATACACATACGTGAATGATTTATTAAGTTCTGTTGTTGAGAAAAGCAGTCTTAGATGTAAAGTAAAAAAATTCTGATGAATATGACACCAGCATCCTACTGTTGTGTTTGTGAATCCCTTTGTGACTGTATCATAAATGATGTATTTCATTATCAACCAGGCAACAAGCAAACTTGACATGTTTTTTTAACTGAATATATATAACATTTATGAGGGAGATATAGTTTTTTACCAGGATATAGTTTCTGTCAATACTTTTTACATGCAGTCCATATCCTAAATTAGCTGCAGCACACATATTAAACCTGAATTGATGAAAGTATCAAATTTCTTCTTGCAGGCTGTGGCGCCATCTGGAAATGGAAGAGCGCCAGATGCCATTGCCAATGTGAATGCAAGCGAGAGGGAGACAAAACCTCATATAGAGGCTACTGGCGCAGATGGTGCTGAGATTGGGACTGGGTCCCAGCAAGATGAAGTCCGGCTACCAAAGTCAGGGCTCCAAAGAAGAAAAAGAAGACTTCACCGATTTGGAATCATTTCACTGAATTGCTTGTTGAAGAAAAGGCGGATGGCAATAGTAATCATGAAGATGGCAATGACAGCATTATGGATCGTGATGATGGTGACAACACTATGGACCTAGAAGAGGAAGACAGTTAGGATTACATTTGCTTCAGGTTACTCCCTATGCCTTCTGTATTTTTTCAATTTATGACCCTGTGTGTTTTCAAATGTTGCAACACAATTATGGTTATTATTCAGAATTTCAGATAGTTAAAATTGAAATGGTAAATGGAAAAAAATAATTGTGTCAATCTGTTGTATAATATCTAATCTGTGCGACCTAGAATATTTTTTGTACACGTGAATTCAGTATCTAATCTGTGTCAATTCTTATGATCTCCTATCATTTTTTATTCGAACCATTCATTTTGTATTTGTATTCGAGGCCGTCTGCAGCTCGCACTGTCGCTCCTTTTGTAAGTATGAAAGTTTTTTACTTTCGCTTGTGCTTTGCTTGTATGGCCTCTACCTTCATAGATTAGCTATCCAAATAATCTTGTCTCACATGCAATCTTTTCTCCTTTGTGCAGTCTCTATTTGACGGTGGTTCGAATAATCCACCTCATGCACCTCCGAATGATGGAGCTGGGCCTTCACCACAGTCGCAGTGGCCGAGATGAGTGCACGTTGTATTTTTTTTCATTTGTTGTTCACTTGGTGATGGACTTGTGATATACTTGTGATGCACTTGTGGACTTTGATGGACTTGTGGATTTATTTGGATGGACTTGAGCACTTATTATTATATATGTGATATATATTGTGATGGATGTGATATGTACGGATGGAAGTGTGGATAGATGAGATATATATGTGATGGATGATATATATATGTGATATATGTTTGTATGAATTTATTTGTTATGATGGAATGTAAAAAAAAATTAAAAATTGCTGTTTTGGGTCACTTTGCCGAGTGTTGCACTCGACAAAGGACCCGTTATAAGTGCCATGGTCACAAAGACTTTCAAAAGCTGGAAAAATGGGCGCTCGGAAACCATTTTCCAGCTTTGCGAAAAGTGCCATGACCATGGTACTTTCGGCAAAGAATTTTTTTAAAAAAATTCAAACTTTGCTTAGTGTCTTGGCGGAGGGCACTTTCGGCAAAGAATTTTTTTTAAAAAAATTAAACTTTGCTTAGAAGTCTTGGCCAGGGGCACTTCGGCAAAAGAATTTTTAGAAAAAAAATAAAACATCTTTGCCGAGGGCTGGATAGAGGGCACTCGGCAAAGAATTTTTTCTTTTAAAAAAAATAAAAAATCTTTGCCGAGTGCCTGCAGGGTTGGCACTCGGCAAAGCGACCGTCAACGGGGCCGGCGCCGTGACGGTCGCTTTTCTTTGCCGGGTGCCCCCGGGGCTCTCGGCAAAGCTTGTGCCGAGTGTTGCCGATCAATTTTTTATCGTGTGTTCTTTGCCGAGTGCCGCACTCGGTAAAGACTTTGCCGAGTGCAATTCAGCCTTTGCCGAGTGCCTCAGGCACTCGGCAAAGAACCTGAATCCAGCAGTGAATCAAGTGTTGGAACACTACATCCACGAGCTTAGTGCTCGTCTTGGTGAGACTTTTAGGCCTTTAGTTTGAGGGATGGTGTACTTGGGCTTCAGAGGCCTTGACTATTCCAGCTTTGTGTGGAGTGGCAGTACTGTGTAGATGTGTAGAGGACGGGGAGAGTCAGATGGCGATGGACATATCTTAATGACTTTTAGTACTTGTATTGATTGGCTATAGCCTTTATGGCAAGCTCATTAATTACGATGAGTGGTGGAAGCCTCAGTGACCAGAAGCATATCTTTTGTGGAGCTCCAACTTGTATTAGGTGTTGCATTTTAGCAATTGTCACCGCGAGATACATCACGGCGTCTTAGTAGTATGGCCTTCTTGCTTGATCTTTTACTTACCACATTTAAGCTTACACATTGTGCATAGGCTAATTGATAGGTTTGACTCTAGATTGAAAAGCTCTTAGTGAGTTTAAGTTAGTAGAGTTCACTGGAAAAACATAAGTTTAGATCATGGTAGCTTGTTTATTCTATTTCTAGTGAAGATCTAGACGAGCCTTAGGTTAAGTTTCTAGAAACCCAATTGATCCCATTCCCCTGTTGCTCCTAGTTTTTAGATGCTCAATTTCCTTTCAATTGGTATTATAGTTGAGCCACCAACAAGCCCATAAATCCTTCTGATGCAACAAAGTCAAGGCCAATAAGATGGAGAGGGGAAGAATATGGGCTTGATCAAGACAATTTTATTTTGGTCATAAAATGGAAATGGTTCTATGACATGAATATTTTGATCATGAATGGAAAACAAGTTAATGATAAAAATTTATTTGACTATGTCATTAAGAAATAAATTTGACACTCCATTTTCTACAAATATAGATTTGTCACTAATTCATCACAAAAGATTCTTTATGGCAAGTTTGGCTATTACCATGGTGATGATTTTTTATCATGTATGTTTGCATTTTTACTAGTGAAACCATCAAGGCCTTCGTCATGTACACCAAGTCCAATGATAGGAATAAAATCAAGACCAACTATTACATCCTTAAGAAGATAAACAATGAGATGGTGCTTGCAACAAAAGTTGGGTGAAAGAGTTGATATGGAATAAGCCTATTGAGGTGCTTAATGATGTGATGTAGAACATGTATGGGTCTCAAAGGTTTGGGTCCCCATGACAAACAAGGCATACATACCACGGGGGGTGCATCATATTGGTTCAAGCCATGTCTTGACTTTGAGGGGAAGTAATAAGAAATCAACATGTGGGTCTGGTGGACCATTTCGAGGGGCGGGCCGAAACCAGACATCTCTAGAAAGACACATGTACAGAGGCGGACGAGCTAGCCGCCTCTAGAAACAGTTTTTACCATTTCTAAAGTATATGTTATGGCATAGTGGGATTGATATGATCCCTTGCTGGTTTATTTCTTGGAACTTAGAAATGTGGCACATTAAGTGGAGTGATAATGTACTGGGTGTATACCTATGGTATAAATTGATGAAAATATAAACTTGTATTGTGGAACACTTATTTTGTTCAACTAGAGACAACTTGCTCATCAACATATTAGTAGAAGATAAATTAGAAGAAGATGACCCACTTCGGTGCAAACTATTGGTGGTTTCCTAAACTTGATAATAACATTCACTTATTTTGTTCTGGGACAACTTGCACATTCACATATTACTAGAAGATAGAAGTAGATGACCAACTACAGTGCAAACTATTGGCAGTTTTCTAAACATGTTAATAATGTTCACTTATTTTGTTCAACTAGAGACAGCTTGCACATCAACATCATTGCTAGAATATAAATTAGAAGAAGATGATACACTACACTGCAAACTATTGGCAGTTTCAAAAACTTGTTAATAACGTTCACTTATTTTGTTCTGGAGACAACTTGCACATCAACATCTTATTACAAGATAAATTAGAAGTAGACGACCCACTGCAGTGCAAACTATCGGCAGTTTCCTAAACTTGTTAATAATGTTCACTGATTTTGGTCAACTAGAGACAACTTGCACATTAACATATTACTAGAAGATAATCTAGAAGTAGGATGACCTGCTATGCTAACTATTGGTGGTTTCGTAAACTTGTTAATAATGTTCAGTAGAAAGCTAGGAAGAGTTGTTAATTCTGGGGTGTTAATGTATTTGGCCTGGTCCTGATATTATAGCTTGGTCTATATCAGAGATTTGAACAAGTACAAGTTAAACACAGCATGATGCCATGAACGTGTTTTAGGGAATGATGTCATGAATCTAGAATTTTCCTGTTGACAAGGTTTCTTGTTTATTATAATGTAAAATTTTCGGTGGTTAGGAGGTGCGAAACCAAGACCCATTGTTGTGCAAACTACAGGAAGTTTCCTAAACTTGTTAATAATGTTCAATTCAAAAGCTAGGAATTGAAGTGTTGCTTGTTAATCAGGGGGATTAGTTTATTTTCCCTGGTCCTGATATTATGGCTTGGTCAATATCCGAGATTTGAACAAGTAAAAGTCGAACACAGCATGATACCATGAACCATTTTTTAGGCAATGATGTCTGTCCTGGTCACATGGTTTGTTGTTAATTATAACATAATTTTTTTTGGTGGTTAGGAGGTGCAAAACCTTGGTACAACATACATAGTTTATTTTTTCTTGTGTGTGTGTGTGTGTGTGTGTAACACACATACAGTAAAGCTCTCTAACTTTCATCAAAGCGTCCTACAAATAAAATTTCAATGTAGTTGGTAACATCATCATTAAATCTGAACAAGTAAGATATCCATAATGTCATTAAATCTCCACAAACAATGCAATTAATTTACTTCTTTTGCTAAAAATATAAAGCAATTCTTACCACCAAACTATGATGTCTAGCATCGCTATTAAGAAGTTACTTAATTTAAAATGATTTGGACAATAGAATGTAAAGGACAAAACATGTGGTCAACTTCTTATTAAGAAATAATAAAACATAATTTGCATAAACTTATAGTACTGAAAGTTACGATTTGAAGCTAATAAAGATTTTACAACTTGGATTGGTAATAGACTATAAGGTCCGAGAAGCGCTCTCTCTGTCTCTCTCTCACCGTGCACCTATCTATCTCTATAAAACAGGAGCGACTAGTACAACCCAGAAAGTTCCTCAATGGAGTGGCGCGCGCTCATCGTGGGCAGCGAGGCGCGGTTGGTTGCTTGTCTCAAATCAGCCTGGGTGTTTTCAGAACTTTTTTCTATGTTAGAATCATGCTTCAAACTAAGTTGTTCCTGTTAATATCATGAAAATTTATGTATTATTTGGTCTTCCAATTTATCTTCCGCAGCTTGATGAGCATGCATGCTTATGTGGGTCTTTGTTTAAAAAATTGCTTTGTTTTAGGATTTGAAAAATCTAAATTTTCTTTGACATTAAAGAACTTTGACAATAGATTTCACAAATCCGTAACTTATTTCGTGCAAGCTACATGCATGTTGTAACTTGTAAACTGAGGCTGAATGGCGCTTTTGTTGCAATTTACAGACCATCGTCAGAGAAGAGGAATCTTGTAGTTGGTGCACTGGTTCATACCATGAG